GCTTCCACGTGCCATGGTTAACTTGCAGAGCAGCTCGGCGTCTAGCGATTTTGTCTATTATTCTTTCTCACTCGGGAAATAACACTGCATGCCCAAAGGCATTCTTCATTAAAAAAAAAAAAAAAAAAGATACTTTGCAGGGTGAAGATTATTTCCTTGACTCTGCCAGTTAAATGGCTCAGGTTGCCAGTAATGAAGCTTCTTTATTTAATTTTTGATGACTAGGAAACTGGGTATAACAAACACACACCCACACAACTTAATAGAAAGAATAAAATAAAATTTTGGCTTTCTGTCATGAGATTTGAGAAGAGTATAGGTAGTATAAGTGGAGATTCACCCCCCTTCCTTTTTTAAAGATTTTATTTATTTATTTGACAGAGAGAGACACAGGGAGAGAGGGAACACAAGCAGGGGGAGTGGGAGAGGGAGAAGCAGGCTTCCCGCAGAGCCCGGAGCCCGATGCGGGCCTCCATCCCAGGACCCTGAGATCATGACCTGAGCCCAAGGCAGATGCTTAATGACTAAGCCACCCAGGCTCCCTTCCCCTTTTCTGTTTTAAACAATTTTCTGAGAAAAAGGGAGTATTCTTTTTTTTTTTTTAACGATTTTCTTTAGTTTTAAGTAATCTCTACACCCAACATGGGGCTCAGACTCAAAACCCTGAGATCAAGAGTTGCTTGCTCCACTGACGGAGCCAGCCCAGTGCTCCCCAAAAAGGAGTATTCTTAAGATTTGTAGTAGAAATCAAACTAAAATACTTAATTTATTTGAATATTTGAAATAAGATTGCCACACATTAAATTTGCTAATGATTTTAACTGTACACATTTTTTTAGAGTGTATTTGTAAATATATTTACTATGTTATGCAATAATATATGTTATGTAAATTAGAAATGTGTAAGAGAATTTACTTCTTTGGCGTTTAAATCCATTTCAAATAGACAAAGCTTCTTTTTGTGTGTAATGGAAAAATTGGTTTGATATGAAGAAGTTAATCAATGACAGTTTGTATATTAGTTTAGAGATTCAGTGAAATAAGACTTAGAACTGAGAATGATGTGTAGTAAACCAGTGATTCATCCATAGGTATCAGTACTTGATCTGGCTTGAGTTCATGTGAGTTGTTGGAATGTATTTCTTAGCATTAAAATATCCTATTTTAGTATCTTTGATTTATAGTCATACAGGACTTTGAAGCTCATTTCCTAGCAACATCACAGAATCAGGGATCTAAATAGTCTATTTTATTTATAAGAAGAACATAATACAGTGTTTATTGATTTATAACTTTTACAAAGTAAAAAACAAAATGCAAGCAGACTTGGAATTTTGACTCTTAAATTGGTTGAGCCTTCAAAAAGTAAAAAGTACTTACTCATTTGTGAAAGTTCTCTTTTTACACGAGTCTTTTTTACAGTCAAACAAATGTTTAATAATGCAACACCATATGACAGTATAGTGGCACTAAACGGAGAGAATATTTTACAGCTGTGAAGTTTTTCTTTTTTCTTTTTCCAAGGCACAATGCTTGAAGGGAGAGTTGTCTGAAGGCAGGGTGATCAGAAGCAGGGACTGACCAGCTGTTCACTCATTTTAGTCATGTTAAATCATCTGATATGCCCGTAAGAGAGAAATGTCAATTGATTAATGAGCCAGAGTATTGATTTTATGTTTTCAGACTGCTAGAGGAGATTAAGCTTCCAGATACAAGCGTTTCCATAAGCCTTCCTTTTGACCAAGTGCATAATGAAAGTAAACACAGAGTTCACTGAGGTTAGAGTTCCCTGCTGGGATCCAGGACTTCGATTTGGTATTAAAAACAGTGTGGTGCTGTTGTGTACTGGGCTTGTGTGTGTTGGGCTTAGAGTCAACTAACCTGAGTTCTGGCTGTGGCATTTCTCCCCTCTTAACAGTGGATCAACTGATGAGGCTTATTTTAAAGAATCTTGAAAACTATAATAATTTCAGCAAGAGGAGATTAAATATAGAACATCAAAATAATTGAAATACTATGCTGCCATTCTCATTGCATGTCAAAGATGATCATAACACATTGCATGCAAAAATCAGTTTACAAAACAGTAATTACAGTCTAATTTTTTTTCTTGTAAAATATACCCCCCCACCAAAAAAACAAGCACCACAGGTGTGTGTGTGTGTAGTCTGAAAAATCATAATTTTTTTGTCTAGGAAATACAGAATAACTTAAATATTATATATTCAGATAGCCGAAGATAGTTTGCTGAACTGTAAAGCTGAAACTCTTGTGTTTGGTGATTGTGTGGGTTTCATTTATTTTTATTCTCTATCCTTTGTGTTTATTGGTAGTATTGAATATTTATTTTCAGAACTATAGTATCTTTTTCCATGGAAGAAATGGATGGCCACAGGTGGTTTTCATTTTTTTTGCATGAGGCATGTGCATTGACAGCCTTTGAAACTTAAATGCTTTGTAATATGCAGGTGCTTTTATTGTTTATAGAAATTCCTAATCCTTGTTTGAAACTTATTAAATGGTGTTCCATCTGTAAGCCTCCCTAAATTCCATAGATTAATTAGCCTTTAAAGTAAGGTTGCCTTTTATCTAACTTTAGTATAAACTCTTCCATCTGGGAACCTTCTCTTTCCTGTGCTTGTTCAGTGTTCTGTGTACTTCAGCACTCTGGTATTAAGTATTAATTATGGACATTGACGTTCTCAGGAACCATGAAGAACACTAAGAATAACAGTAGATTGAACAAAGTGGCATTGTCCAGAGAATAGTTTGATGTGGTAAATGATCCATCCATCATGGCTTTGCCACTACTGTGTGCGTGGCATTATTGAAAAGTGGGATAGTTACTCTATAGGGAAATTTTACAGATGATGGTTCTATAAGTTAGCATTCTTAAGACATTTCAGTGAAAGGAAAAAAGAGAAAAACACCCTCTATTGACATCTCATGTGGCTTTTTTCCTGGTAGGTTCTGACTGAAAATTTGTTGACAGTATTTACTGCAGAGAGATTGGCTTTGGCTCTTTTGAGGAAATGTAGTATGGGGTTAGAATTGTGTTGTTATTTTTAAAGAAATCAATATATTTTTTTGAAGATTTTATTTATTTTGAGAGAGAGAATGAGATAGAGCATGAGGCGGGGGGGGGAGGGTCAGAGGGAGAAGCAGACTCCCTGCTGAGCAGGTCAGATCATGACCTGAGCCGAAGGCAGTCGCTTAACCAACTGAGCCACCCAGGCGCCCCTAAAGAAATCAATATTAAATGATTTAATTCTATTTACTAGTCTCAGAATTATTGAATACCACAGAGTGGAATGTTTATTTTTTAAAAACATAAAAGGTCAGTAATAATTCAGTCATCTGTGTGCTTAAATTAATCAACTTAATATTATTTGGTGCTTTTTATGGACTTAATTTTGCTACCTCACCCTCTGCCTCAAATAAATTAGACTAATGCTATAACAAATAGGTTCCATGACTTGTTTAGGAAACATGACAAAAATAATTTTACTCAGTTCAGTTTTGATTATGGTAGATAATTGAGGGTAGGAAACCAAAATGTAGTTATTACATGGTTTTGGCTTCCAAGGTATAACATCTAGGTTGAGAGAGAGAGTTAATAGTCATGAAACAGTTGAGACCATTAAGTGTTCAGGTGTATTTTCCAAATTAGAAGAGAGTAAGACATTCAGGGAAGATGGTTTAGCATAATCAGAATGTAGAAGGTCCTTAGAATTAAGTTAATGGAGGAGACAGCGTTCTAAATTGGAGTAAATACTGTGACTAAAGGAATGACTTTAGGCACATGTGGAGATCTTGGAGTAGCCTTAAATGATAGGAATCTGGCTGTGGATTGAATAGTTGTCGGGTTAGGGCAGAAGGTATGGTTGTTTAGAGGGGTGGTCACATTATGGGAAGGCTTTGAAAGCAGAGGTGGCCAGCGAGGATGCATGAATAGCTTGTTTTTGCAATAGAGTAGCAAGATAAACAATTTCTCCCAGGTGAGTTATCTTACAAATGGTAGGTAGGAAGAGATTGGAGACCAGTGAAAATTTTTATTTAGGAGATTATTGTAGTAGTCTGGGGATGAGTTAATGAGTGCCTACTTTGGGGGGTGACGGCAGGAATAGAGGGGAATAACTGAGGCACACCGGCACTGGAAGAAACTTGGTCATTAGCGTAACTTCAGTGCATATTGAGGGAGTGAACCAGAGGTTGAGAGAGGGGAATAAATATGGAGAATGAAGGAAAAAATAAGTTACTAGTGACTTCTTCCTAGATATCTTGAGAGTGAGTTACCACTGATAGAAGACGGGTAGGATAAACAAATCTAGTAGAGGGACATGATGAGTTCAGTTTGTACATACGGAATTTGAAGTGGTGGTAACTTCACAAGTGGAAGTGGCTTTATAAGTAGCTGGATATGTGGTTCTGGAAAATGGTCAATTCAGGGCCTGAGACCTAGAGTGAGGTGTATGGATATGTACATATATGGATATGTAAGGGCGCTTTCTGAGAGAGTTTTTTTTTTTTCCCTGAGGGAGTTTCTAAAGGGAAAATTGGAAGATCAATAAAGAAGCCTTAGAAAACACCAGAAAAAAATCATTCAGGGGGCGCCTGGGTGGCTCAGCTGTTAAACATCTGCCTTCGGCTCAGGTCATGATCCCAGGGTCCTGGGATCGAGCCCCACATCGGGCTCCTTGCTCGGCGGGAAGCCTGCTTCTCCCGCTCCCACTCCCCCTGCTTGTGTTCCTTCTCTCGTTGTGTCTCTCTCTGTCAAATAAATAAATAGAACCTTTAAAAAAAAAAATCATTCAACATTTAGGTTTTAGAGGGCCATTTTTAATAATTTGATTTCAGTTTGCTTAATTTGAGTAATATTTTTTAAAACAACGAGTAACCTGTGTTTTGAACAGTTTAGTTTAAAAATGATGGTAAAAATCAGTATATTCTGTTCTGATTCTAAAATCAGAATATTTCTGATTTGTTGTAACTTTTCCTAGATTGCCGTGCTAAGGAGACAGCAACGTATGATAAAAAATCGAGAGTCTGCCTGTCAGTCCCGCAAGAAGAAGAAAGAATATATGCTTGGCTTAGAGGCCAGGTTAAAGGCTGCGCTTTCAGAGAATGAGAAGCTGAAGAAAGAGAATGGATCACTGAAGCGACAGCTGGATGAAGTCGTGTCAGAAGTGAGTGACGCACTGCAAGGGAGTGGCCCTTATGTTTCTCTTCTGCACCTTTCCTTTTCTCTCTCTGCTACAACAGGGAACCTAGAAGGCTCTGCTCTAGTCTTGTGAAAAGTACTGTTTCCTCATCTTTGAGTTTTTTTTTTTTTAACTATTAAATTGGTGAAGAGGAGTGTGCTTATCTTAGATGCTGCTTTTTGTGAGATTGATATGTAGTTTAACCGTATTTAACATGGTTATTTCTTTTAGAACCAGAGGCTTAAAGTTCCTAATCCGAAGCGAAGAGCTATCTGTGTGATGGTAGTGTTGGCATTTATAGTACTCAACTATGGACCCATGAGGTAAGCAGATAGCCATCTGTTTAGGTACTAATGCTAAAAATTTCAATTCCCATTCTTTTCAGCTCTAGTTGTAAGCTAGAGAAAAACAGATTCGTTTTGTTCTCTTCAGAGACAATAATTAGGTAAGAAGAGGGGAAAAAGAAAGATTGGTTCCTCTTTCTTGTTCTTCATCTAGGTCTGGCAGAAAATTCATGATGTTTAATGAAGAAAGCCTTCAGTTACCAAACAGATCAGTGGTGGGCCTTGAAATCAGACTGCCCAAGTTCAAATGCTAGCTCCTCCACTTGGTAACTTTGTTGTCTTAGGCAAGTTACTTAACCTCTGTGCTTCAGTTCCTTACCTTTAAAATGGTTAAGCCTTGGGGCACCTGGGTGGCTCAGTTGGTTGAGCGACTGCCTTCGGCTCGGGTCATGATCCTGGAGTCCTGGGATCGAGTCCCACATCGGGCTCCCTGTCTGCTTCTCCCTCTGCACCTCTTCCCTCTCATGCTCTCTATCCCTCATTCTCTCTCTCTTAAATAAATAAATAAAATCTTAAAAAAAAAATGGTTAAGCCTTTATAATAATACTGTTACCTACTTGCCTCAGTACTGTGATGCTTGAGCAGCTTCAGTGATTATAAGACACTAGGGTGGCTTCCTCCCTAGCTGGAAAGGAAGCAGCTAGAGCGTAATTAGCAGTTTCTGACTTAGTAGGTTTGGAATGGGAATCAAGAATCTAAATATTTTATAGTGTTCTAATTGATTTTGGTACAGGTTTCCAGCTAATCACGACTTGAGAAACACTGCTTTTAGGTTAGCGTCGTAGAATACTAGAGTCATAGGTTAGAGTCATAGAATACTAGAATTTAGAGGGACCCTAGAGACCTCTTTTTCAGACTCCCACTCACTGTGGCACATTTGATAAATGAATGAAATCAGCATCCTAGGTGCCGGGGAGTCAAAAGAGTGATTAGACTGGGGCCATACCTTCAAAGATCTCCTGGTCTAGCTGAGAAGACAGACAAGTCAAAGGATGACTCGAGTATAATGTGATGAATATAATAATAGCAATATGAACAAATTACTAAAAAAATGTAAATGAGAGTAAGAATTCCTTGAGAAGGTTCATGTCATATTGATAGATGCTCAGAACATGTTTTGATGAATGGGAGTGGGTAAGGGAAATCCCCACAGAGGAAGCTGAATCTTGAAGTGTGATAGCAGTTTGTCAGTTGGAGAGTATGGAAAGAGATGCCAAGTAGAGGGACCACAATAGTTAAAAGGCACAATTAGGGAATGGCTTGATGTTTTCAGGAAAAAGTGAAAAATTCATGCATATCTTATACATGTGGGAATGTGTATGAGGGAAATGGGGCTACAGGTATACAGTGGGGGCCAGATACTGAAGAGCCTAGTATGCTACTGTATACAATGAGGCACCCCTGGGTTTTTTAGGCAGAGGGTAGCATAATCAGTTTTGATGTTAGGAAGGTGATTGAGGATGGTAGCGAGAATGGACCGGACTGAGCAGATGCTATTGGCAGAGACAGCACTGGGAGGTTGTTGGTGTATTTAAGGTGATATATGTGAGTCTGGACTTGGACTGTGGTGATGGAAAGGACAGGCTATCTCAGGGTGTACCTCTGACGTAGACTCTGGGGTTTGATGACTGATGCCGAGTGGGACATGAAGAAGAAAAGAGAGAAGCTAAAGATAATTCACATTTCTATCTTGAGGGACAGAACAGCGATGCTCTTATTTAAGGCAGGAGTTAGGAAGATGAATCATTTTATGATGGCGGATAATGGTTTTTATTAGTGTGGAAAGTTTGTGATACTGACTAGATATTGGGAATTACCATGATGGATAGACAGACAGACAGATGGTAGTGGAGCAGGTGAGATTATCCAAGGAGAACAAGTAGGGGAAGACGAGTAATGAGAATCTGGGGAAACCAGCATGACAGACTCAGGAAAAGAAACTCAAGAGTGAGTAGTGTTAGGGACAGAACCAGAAGAATGTGATTTTCTGAAGCCCAGAGTGAAAGAGTTTCAAAAAGAGGCTTGTGGGGGCAGAAACCTGAGGTGAGAACATTGAATTTGGCAACTAGCAGCTTGATGGTAATCTTGGAGCTGCTCTGTGTTCCACGCTTTGTGGTTGACACTCTTAATCAGTGTTCATTTTGGAAGGTGATGTCCAGAGCTAGCACATTTCCTTAGATATTATCTTCTGACCTGTGTAGACTGTAGTGAAATCCTCACTTCCTAAGAGCTTATTTTTTCATGCAGCCTGAGATTGTGGTAGCTATTTCAAAGAGATGTATTATTAACTAAATCCCCATATCTTTTTCACGTTTGATGGTCAGGCTAGGTCATTCCCATTTTATTTCTATACAGTTTCTAAAAAGTAAAATGTAGATCTTGTATTCAACTTTCATTATCATTTGGTATTAGCACAACTCTCTAGAGCATTTGATATCCCATCGTGGAACCTCAGACACCCATGTACTTTTTACTAAAATGATTCAGTGGAAAGAGGTCATATTTCTGAGTTGACCTATTTTTGAAAGTTTATACTGTATTAGACATGTTACACAGAATATGTAGAAGAGATACCTGGAGCAAGCATTTAAATTATTAAAAAGAAGTTTTTTACTACCTGTTGGTATTTTACCCATATTCTTCATATTAAAATTATTTTTTCATTTAACTCTGATAATGGCAGTCTCAGAGGCTTTATGCAGTAGCGTTCGGTGGACAGTAAAGAAGATGGGGTTGTGCTGTAGGAAGTGAGGATGGGGTTAGGGATACACTTTGTTGTGGAAGCCCTCATAAGTAAATAGAGATTTGGGGGAAAAAAAGACAATTTTTAAATGGATTAATGATGTTTATAGCTACTGAGGGTAGAGGGGGTGTGTGGGAATGGATCTCATTTCTATGAGCTGATGTGTTGATTCATTTTGGAAGGAGGAGACTCTGGTCCTATTTTATCACAAAAGTTTTGTGTCCAAAAAATTAGATGGATAGTACAAAGAGCAGAATGAAGAATGGGAGAAAGCTTAAATATTTGAGAGTCCAGAGGAACAGCCAGAGGAGATCTGTGTCTGTCTCTTTGTGAAGGCTTGAGGAACAGAAAGCGAAGAAGTAGTGGGAAGATTTCGGAAGTGTGCCGATTTTTAAAAACATGTTAAAAGGCTTAGATTGAAGAAAAGCAACAAAGAGCTGGAAGGAGTGAAGAAATATTGAAGTATCTTAATAGGTTGGAATATCTCCAGACACCAAGAAGGAAATAGAACAGAAACTGGCTATGGAGCTCATAAAAACCAGGAACTATTTCTTCTCGACAAAATTGGGCACGAATGGTGGAATACCAAAGCTGAGAGAGCAACAGGGTCTGAAAGACTGATACCTGCCCCCGAACCAAAAGTTGGCGGGGGAGACGTACCATCACGCATGTTCTTCAGAAACATTCTTGATTGACCCCATCCTTTGCAGCCTCTTCACTGCAAGACTGAAGATCTTCTCAGGGCTGGGAATCTGCCAGAGGAGCAGAAACTCCCCACTTGAACCTTATTAATACCACCTGGAATGTATTTATTGAATAACTTCCACACCCATGGCCGTGTATATCTCTAAACCTTAAGCAAGCATTATTGTGTTTTAATTGGTATAGAAAAAAACAGATTGTGAGTTCTAACTGAACTTTTCTCAAGTACCACAAAACTAAGTCTGGCCAGACAAGCAGACGTTTTAATGAGAGATTTCCAAAGCATTTTAAATTTAGGAAACTAAACTCTTTCAGAACAGATCACATTACCATAATAAAGTTGTCAGTGTTATTTCAGATATTCAGTGTAGAATTGAACTTCTGTGCCATATTGGTATGGGTCCAAGTGAAAAACTATCTAACACACAAGTTTGCTGCCTATAGGTATGTCTTAAGAAACATTTCCTGAAGGCACTTGTGGTGATGAAATGTAAATACATCTTACATCTAAGGTAAGAGTTTTGTGCAGCAACACTGACTAGTTTGAGGAGTTTTAGGTTACTGAATAGTCATCACACAGAAAAAGAAAATAAGCCGAACAGACTTAAAAGCGTTAATTTTTCTGACCTTATTGATGTTACGTGGATGGTAAAGACAGCATCTAGCTTTTTCTGGCACAAGATTCAAAGAGCTGGCCCACTCTGGGTGGTCTATAAAAACAGTAACTCTGGGCAGCAGGGAATGGCTAAACTGGACAAATGTGAACTGTAGGAAACCCTCTTCTTACTGTTCATTAAGGTTGATTCTATGATTATTAGTCCTATTTCATAAAGAACTGGAAATTTAACCAAGGTCTCTTTTTAAAATTATTGAAAACTCTGCCTTCTCTACTATACCATAAAGTAGTTTTTTTCTACCATTGTCCAAGAAACCTTAAGGACTTCTGTTTTTGGCAATATGGTGGGCTAGAGGTATGGAGAACCTCTTTGCAGTTCTATACACCAAAAAATGCTGGATTAAAAAACACATCAAAACTCTTTTATGTAATGGCTGAACTGAAGACAGAGTAAGGCCTTCTTAGAAGCCAGAAATATAAAGATAACGTGAATCCATTATAAGCTAGCATTGGAAGTGATGCTATTTCCTGATCCGTTAGCCTAGAGTCTGGTGACAAGAACGCTCTGGGGTTCTGAACAAGGTAGGAAGTCACAACTGAGCCCCATCCCCCCTTCCCAAACCCAAATAAAGCTGGAACTTCCAAAGAATGACATTTTCAGTTGCTAAAAAGAGGGGGAAAAAGTAGGTTGTCAAACTACATAGGGAGAGTATTGATAAGTACCTGTCTTGGTATTAGCTTTGAGTAGGATGGACATAAAGAAAAAGTCTCCCTGAGAACTCATCATCACAAGCCTTAACTCATGTAGGTTTGAGCCTGAATTTATACTACTGTTGTGACTCCTCAAAAAACCAAACAAAAATTTAGTTTAAGTGGCCCTCTGTTGGTACTGCTAGGCTCCTGGCAGAAACAAATGCA